TTTTAAAGGGAAAATATTTGGGGAAAACCAGATGTATTTTGTAAGGAAATAAATTGCGCATTTTTGACTGAACAGCTTTCAATGACTAGGCAGGTGAAACAGGGAAGAGCTTCTGTGCCTCCCCTCGATTCTTCAACAAATTGTGGTAACAATTTGGGACTGGAGGGCCTCTTCCTTGAGTCTTTCCTGCAGGGGACTCGGGGCAGTGATGAACCGGTCCTGGTGGAAGCAGGTTTGCTGGGGGGGGGGGGGATCGGTGTTGACATGGGAGTGAATACTCTGACTCTGAAACAGCTGGTTGAGGCCCAGGAATGTGGTGACACCCTAAAAGCTATTCAGTTGCCAGCTGTTACAGAGGCGGTGGTTCCCAAATTTAACAAATATTTATTTTGCAGAGTTGAACTAATGAGGATAACTCACTTTGAGGAAGTACTGCCAGATGGAGTTAAGGAAGCATGCGACCAAGTGGTCATGTCAGAGCCATTTGAGTATCAGGTTCTGAATATTTCACAGATCCCGTAGAGAGGAAATTTGAGTATTGAGAATGGAAAGCTAGATAATCGGTGTTTACTACTCACTTTTCAACCACGTTACTCTTTAGTAGTTATGTGGAAATAGTTATGTGGAAATATGATGTAGTTATGTGGAAATATGATTCAGTAGTGCATAAGGATATGTGGTGTATATTTTAAAAATGCATCACGGCGGGGTTCGGCCAGCACTGTGTTGTTATGGTGCATCATCTTAATTTTGGGTTTGTACTCATTATTTTTTACCCCTGTTTGTGGTTGCAGGGGTCGAGGACATAGTCATGGCACAGCCTCTTCACTAATCGCTACTAGGGCCCTTTCTCCCTGTTCCATGGCATAATCAAACCTCGTCTTAAACTGTGCATGGTTCCTGCCTCCACTACGTCACTTTCCAGACGATTCCACTTCCTGAAAAACTCTATGTTTGAAGAAATACTTCCTAACATCCCTCTGACTCATCTGAGCCTTCAACATCCAATTGTGGCCCCTCGTTTCTGTGTCCCATCTCTGGAACATCCTGTGTCTGTCCACCTTGTCAATTCCTCGCAGTATTTTATATGTCGTTATATGTCTCTCCAAACCCTCAGTCCTTCAGTGTCGTGAGGCCGATTTCCTCTATTTTCTTCGTAGGACATTCCCCTTAGGACGGGGACTAGCCTTGTTGCAAGCCTTTGCACTTTACCTGGAGTTTACCTGGAGAGAGTTCTGGGGTCAACGCCCCCGCGGCCCAGTCTGTGACCACGCCTCATGGTGGAACAGGGCCCTGGTCAACCAGGCAATTACTGCTGGCTGCACGCAATCCAACGTACGAGCCACAGCCCGGCTGGTCAGGTACCGACTTTAGGTGCCTGTCCAGTGCCTGCTTGAAGACAGCCAGGGGTCTATTGGTAATCCCCCTTATGTATGCTGGGAGGCAGTTGAACAGTCTTGGGCCCCTTACACTTATTGTGTTGTCTCTTAGCATGCTAGTGACACCCCTGCTTTTCAATGGGGGGATGTTGCGTCGTCTGCCAAGTCTTTAGCTTTCGGAGAGTGATTTTCGTGTACAAGTTTGGTACTAGTCCTTCTAGGATTTCTCTAATTTCTTGACCTGCTTGACCAGGTATGGGCTCCAAACTCGTGCTGCATACTCCAATATGGTCCTGACGTACGCGACGTGAAGAGTCTTGAACGATTCCTTACTTTGATATCTGGTTGATGTGTGCCTCAGGAGATGTGTTTGGTATTATACTCACCCCAAGACCCCTTTCCTTGAGTGAGGTTTGCAATCTTCGGTCACCTAGCCTATACTCTGCGGTCTTCTTTGCCCTCCCCCGATATTTATTACTTTGCATTTGGGGCGGGGGAGGTAAATTAGAGGAGCCAGTTGCTGGACCAGGCTTGCAGTCTATCCAAGTCTCTTTGTAGTCCTGCCTGATCCTCATCCGATTTAATTATCTTCATTAACTTCACATCATCAGCAAGCAGGGACACTTATATACCAAAAACAGCACTGGTCCTAAGACTGACACCTGTGGAACCCCGCTCGTCACAGGTGCCCACTTTGACACATCGTCACTTACCATGACTCGTTGTTGCCTCCCTGTCAGGTATTCTTTGATCCATTGCAGTGTCTTTCTTGATATGCATGCCTGATCCTCTAGCTTTTGCACTAATCTCTTGTGATGAACTGTGTCGAAGGTCTTCTTCCAGTCCAAGAAAATGCAATCTATCCACCCCTCTCTCTCGTGTCTTACTTCGGTTACTTAGTCACAAAACTCTAGTAGGTTTGTGAGACAGGATTACTCTTCCCTGAAACCGTGCTGTTTGTCATTTCTAAGATTATTCCTTTTTACGTTCTCCACCACTCTCCTCCTGATAACCTTTTCCTTGACTTTGCATGCTATACACGTCAGTGACAATGGTCTGTAGTTTAATGCCTCGTGTCTGTCTCCTTTCTTAAGGATGGGAACTACATTTGCCGTCTTCCATACCTCAGATAGTTGCCCAGTTTCAATGGATGTATTGAAGATTGTTGTTAGTGGCACGCACAGCATCTCTGTTCCCTTTCTAAGGACCCACGGAGAGATGTAGTGTTGTCCCACCGCCTTTGAGGTATCTAGTTCACTTAGCAGCATCTTCACCTCCTCCTCGGTTGTATGTATTTCTTCAGCATTGTTGGTATATTCCTCATTGGTGTAACCCCCTACTCTGACTTCCTGGAGACCTTTCTGTCTCCAACTGTAAATACTTCTTTAAATCTCATGTTGAGCTCCTCACATTTCATCTTGGTATTTTATTGTGAGCTCTCCACCTTTTCCCCAACCTGATTACCTGGTCCTTGACTATTATCTTCCTTCTGATGTGGGTATACAAAAGCTTCAAGTTAGCCTTGACTTTCGATGCTTTGTCGTTTTCATACTGTCACTGAACCTCTCTCCTTATCTGTGCATACTCGTTTCTAGCTCTTCAACTTATCTCTTTATTTCCTGGGCCTTTGTTTCTGTACTTTTCCATTCTCCAGTTTTTGCCTCCGTTCACCTTTGGGTGTACCCCGGTCTCTTTCTGGTCTTCCCATTTTTCTACTGCCCTCGGGAACAAACCTCTCCTCTGCCTCCTTCCTTTTTGTTATCATGTAGCCTTCATTTTGTTTACTGATTTTCCTACCAATTTTCTTTCCCACTGAACCTCTTGCAGGAAGTTCCTGACACCTGTGTAGTCTCCCCTTTTTTAGTTTGGCTTTTCCCATTCACTCCTGTTACCCCCTCCACTTGTAGCTCTACTATGTATTCTAAGCGGGAAAAACTACGTGATCACTGGCTTGAGAGGCCTTTCATATGTGATGTCCTTGATGTGCAAACTATTCAAGGAGGAATACAAGGTCCAGTCTTGCTGGTTCATCCTCATCTCTCTCTGGTAGTGTCCCTAAAATGTTGATGCATGAGGTTTTCCAGTACCACATCCATCATCTTGGCTCTCCATGTTTCAGGAGATCCATGTGGTCTCAGGTTTTCCCAATCAGTCTTGTTGTAATTGAAATCACCCGTAAAATAGTAACTTTGTTCTACCCATGTGAGCTCTTCTATCCAAATCAGCTGGCGTGTCCACCACTGTTCTGTTGCTCTCTTCAGTGGCAAAGAGGGATAGAGGGAAGTAGAGAAAAAGGGAGAGGAAGAGAGGGAAAGTGAAAGGCAAAAATAAAGGGGGGGGGAGAGAAGGGGAGAGGGAGAGAGAGGGGGAGAGGGAGAAGTAGGATGAGGAAGAGAGGGAGACGAGGGGTAGAGAAAAAAAAGGGAGGAGGGGGCAGAAAGTGTGTGCGTGTGTGTGTGTGTATGTGTGTGGGTTTGTGTTACTCACCTAGTTTTTGGTTGCAGGGATCGAGTCACAGTTCCTGGCCCGCCTCTTCATGGTGGCTACTAGATCACTCTTCCTGCTCCCTGAGCTTTATCATACCTCTTCTTAAAGCTATGTTTGGATCCTGCCTCCACTACATCACTTCCCAGACTACTCCACTTCCCGTGATTCATACGAGTCTTCAACTTCCAACTGTGTCCCCTTGTTGCTGGGTCCCATCTCTTGAACATCCGGTCTCTATCCACCTTGTCGATTCCTCTCAGCATTTTATATGTCGTTATCATTTTTCCCCCCTCACTTTCCTGTTCTCCAGTGTTGTCAGGTCGATTTACCTTAACCTCTCCTCGTAGGTCATGCCCCTTAGCTCCAGGATTAGTCTTGTTGCAAACCTTTGCACTTTCTCTAATTTCCTTACAAGCTTGGTTAGGTGTTGGTTCCAAAATCATGCTGCATATTCCAATATAAACCTAACGTACAAGGTGTACAGGGTCCTAAATGATACCTTAATGGGATATCGGAATTCTAGTCTTAGGTTTGCTACGCGTCCATATACTGCAGCAGTTATTTGGTTGATGTGCGCCTTAGAAGAAGTGCCTGGTGTTATACTCACCCCAATATTAATTTTCCCTTTAGTGAGGTTTGTAGACTCTGGCCTTCAAGACTGTACTCCGTCTGCGGTCTTCTTTTCCATTCCCCAATCTACATGACTTTGCACTTGGTGGGGTTGAACTTCAGGAGCCAGATGCTGGACCAGGCCTGCAGCCTGTCCAGATCCCTTTGTAGTTCTGCCTGGTTATCGTATGATTGAATTCTCATCAACTTCACATCATCTGCAAATAGGGACACTTCTGAGTCTATTCCTTCTGCCAAGTCGTTCACAAATACCAGAAACAGCACCGGTCTTAGGACTGACCCCTGTGAAATCCCGCTCGTCACAGGTGCCCTTTCTGACACCTCGCCACGTACCATGACTCGCTGTTGTCTTCCTGACAGGTATTCCCTGATCCATTGCAGTGCCTTCCTTGTTATCCTTGCCAGATCTTCCAGCTTTTGCACTAATCTCTTGTGTGGAACTGTGTCAAAAGCCTTCTTACAGTACATGAAAATGCAATTTACCCACCCCTCTCTCTTTTGTCTTACTGCTTTCACATGTCATAGAACTCCAGTAGGTTTGTGACAGGATTTCCCGTCCTATAAATCGGGGTGGTTGTTGCTGATAAGCTCATTCCTTTCTAGGTGTTCTACCACTCTTCTCTTGATAATCTTATCCATGACTTTGCATACTATACATGTTAGAAACACTGGTCTATAATTTAATGCTTCGTGTCTATCTTCTTTTTAAAAAACTTGGACTACGTCTGCTGTCTTCCATACCTCAGGCAATCGTGTTGAGGATTGTTGTTAGTGGTACACATAGTGCATGGAGAGATGTTATCCAGCCCATCGCCTTTGAGGTATCTAGCTCACTTAGCAGCCTCTTCACTTCTTCCCCGGTTGTATATATTGTGTCTAACACTTGATGGCATAACCCGCCTGTTCATCTTTCTGGAGTCCCTTCTTTGAATCTCATGTTTAGCTCCTCACGTACTTTGCAGCCATTTCTTGTGATCTCTCCTCTTCTTCCTCAGCCTG